CTGCAGACTGTGCGGAGGCGATAAGGAGGGCGTCATCCACATTTTATGTGAATGCCCCCTATTAGCACTCCGTCGCTATAAAATCTGGGGCCAGGCTTTCCTGAAACCAGAGGACTTACAACAAGCGGCTGTCACCAGCCTTATTAGCCTAGTGAGAAACACAGGGCTGGGGCTGTGTGACTGACCGAAACTAAGGCGGAAGTTACAAAAGATCGTATGATTTAGGTGACTCTGGGCGCTTTAAGTGACCAGCCGCACTTTTTCTATTCTATTCTATTCTATGCACTTTCAAATGAAATTGGTTTCATGAAGTTCGGAGCGATATATTTTTTTTCATTGAATTAATGACTTCACGGGGATAGTTTACCCCCGAAATTTCACCCCTCGGAGATGATTTCAATTTCTATCTTAATCATTTTCCATGAGCTTTCTGTTATATTGCAAAAAAATTTGTCTAAATATTCTCCCTATGTGCGCAATTGAAGAAATACCCCTAAACCCGCGTATGGGTCGATAAAAAAAAATGTGGCACTTGCTTTTGAGTCCTCTACNACCCCTCGGAGATGATTTCAATTTCTATCTTAATCATTTTCCATGAGCTTTCTGTTATATTGCAAAAAAATTTGTCTAAATATTCTCCCTATGTGCGCAATTGAAGAAATACCCCTAAACCCGCGTATGGGTCGATAAAAAAAAATGTGGCACTTGCTTTTGAGTCCTCTACAACATATTCAAGTTTCATCAAAATCGGGGGCGGACACCTACCTAGTGTTCCTTGTAAGTTTCGCCCTCCGTGCGCTGCAACTTTTATTTGAACAACTTCGCTGTCCCTCCCTTCCTACAAAAGATATCAAGGCGTACTATTTCAAATGGGACACCTTGTGTGGTACAATATGAGAGAAATTATGAATAATTTTTTTTGGCGCAAATTTGAAGAGGAAACAACGAAAAAAGTACAATGAATGAACCACGGAAAGTAAACACCAGATGTTCGAACTTTTGTTGCTGCAATGCACCTGAAATCTGGTTTCCAATCGATGATCTCTATATAACTTTTTGTAGAGCACGGTGTTACATATAGGTCTGGAAACTCCTATTGTGGGGGAAGACTCTCTTAACGGCGACGGATTTTGTATTTCACTTGACGGTCGCTAGGGACGCAACGTGACAAACGGATTTTTGTTGAAAAAGCGCGGTCAAGGTTTTAACCTCTCAGTCAATCAAAAAGTTCCTCATTAACGAAATACTCTGTAACGAACATGTGGGAATGTTCGTTAGGAACACTAAAAACGATCTGGAAACAGCGAGACTCCTACAACGTTGAATTAAAATCCGTGAGTAAGAATCCTAGAGCGAGAGAGTGAGAGTCCCTTATCCACTTCCGAGTGGCTTATTTCCGGTTAGAGTTATCGGTTCCGTTTATTCATAAAGACTAGTAATTACGCGTCTTTGAGGGCCCAAAAAAATTATCGTGAAGAAGGGCCAAAATTATAGAGTTATCCGGTTCTTTTTATGCGGTTCACCCTATTGTTAATCTTGCGGGTAATCGATTAGGTCCGGCTGAAATGCAGGCGGTCCAATTTCGTTGGATTGTCAGGGGTTAATTGGTGACATTTTTTGTTCTGGGTGGAAGGTCGTTTGGAGCGAGTGCAACCATCGTCTTCAACGAATTGCCAGGTTGCCTTTGGGTTTCGTTGAGAAAAATGAGTTGAGAATGAATTAATAGTGGAGTAATAACAAGTACCGGTGACTTGTCTTTTAACCCCGAAAATCCCGGAGATCCGATCCGTGGGTAGCGCCAAAGACCCTTAGTAATTATCCGAACGACAATCAGTTCGGCCTAGTCTCGCGTAATAATTAGTAAAAAGGAACTAGTTTTGTGTTAGGTGATTAGAAAAGAGTTGGGTGAGATTGGAATAATCGCGCCAGGTCGTGAGAGTCATGATTAATTGTCGTTAGATTCGCACCTTCGAGGGGCGTGTTCGCACCAATCAAAATTCAGGTGATTGAGCGGTGAATTCCGCGCTCTGAGCTGTCT